CAAATGGGGTTTTTTCAGGGCGGACCTTTCAGCTTGCCTCGCCCGGGGCATTTCGGGGCCAAATACCCCGCTGAAGGGCCCGAGTTGGCCCGAGGGCTTCCCAAAGTTTTCCAACGCCGGCGCCGCCGGGGGCCCTCCAGGGATGAGCCCGCCCCCCCGTGCTGACGGGGGAGGAGCGCGCCGCCCGCGGGCGGGCAGTCCGAGCGCTGCCTCCCGCCCGTACGGAGGGCCGGGAGGGCCAACCTGCGCGGGAGTCGGGGCTTCTGGCCAAAGCCAAAGACCAGGCGGCTCCACGGGCCAAGGGGCAGAGCTGCCTCCGCCTCCCGCTGGGCGGGACACCTTGCAGGGTGGCATCTCCGCCACAAGTCTGGGCGCCGGCGGCGCGAACAGCCCTCGGACAAGCGCCATGTGGCTCACCCTGGTGCTGCTGGCCGCGCTGCTGCTGCTGCTGGCCGTCCTCCGCCGAGTTTACTCAGGCAGCTCCCCGAACCCTTTCTCCGAGGACGTCAAACGGCCCCCCGCGCCCCTGGTGACCGACAAGGAGGCCCGGAAGAAGGTTCTGAAACAAGGTCAGTGGAAGGGACCCTGCGGTCGGAGGCTGCACCGATTTGCGGCTTCTTTCCGGCAGGGCGAGCTGCTGCCAGACCTGGGCCTCAGTTTCTCCCTCTGCAAAGTGCCGGGGAGGCTGGACGCACGTGGAGGCGCCCGCTGTAGTGTCCGCCACCAACCGGCGCCTTTGCTGGGCAGGCTGGGCAACAGTGGACGCATGGACGCGCGCACTGTCCTCTGTGTGCCAAGGTCTTGGCAATGTCAAGTCCAGACTCTGTCTCCCCCCCATCCCCCTCCACCCCCCTCCACCCCCCAAGCCAACCTGTATCCAGCTTTATTAAAGATGCTTTTCATAAATAATCATGGTATTTCAAGGCAGGACATGGGTAGACAATCCTTCACAGTGTACAACTTTCAAACTCCCCTCGTCAGTGGACTACCAACATCAGAAAGCCGCTATAAGACCCAATGAAGTTTTCATCTGATGCTCAGAACAAGGAGAGTTTAGAGTGAAGGTTGACATTTCACATTAAGCATGTTGTTTAGCAACTTTTCACAAACCCATCCTCACTTTCAGGCAATGAAAGGAAAATGGCAGATTTGTAGATCCACAGTCGAACATGCTTTTTGAGGTCATGTCCCAAGAGGTCTCTGGGCTTAAGGGAGCCAGGTCTATGCTTAAACTGGAGAGGGAGGAAAGGAATTAAAATGATTTTTAGTTTTGCCACACCACAATGTGTTTGTGCCAAGGTGGCTAATGTGTGTCAACATCAAGTGATCCCTCCTCTCACCAACTGAGCCACCCAGCCAGGACAGGAATCAGTAACTGAGCCAGGGTTGCAGGTTTGATCCCCAGTCAGGACACATAAAAGAATCCTATATAATAAAAGGTTAATGTGCTAATTAGGCCGGATGTCCTTCCAGACGTCCTTCCGGACCAAGCCGGCCCACGGTTGCAAGGGACAGATCCAGGCAGCTGCCCTCAGCCGCAAAGGCCTACTCTTGCACGAATTTTGTGCATCAGGCCTCTAGTGCATAAATAAGTAGAACAACAAATTGATCTCTCTCACATCCTCCCCCCCCTTTCAAATAAATTTTAAAAAATTTACTGATTCCTACTGTCTTTGAAAGTAGGGAAAATCTCCATGTACATAGCAACTTTGGTTAAATCAGTTCAGATCAAACCAAATCACTTTGCTGGTCCTGA